GGCGGGGTGGGGTGGAGCGGAAGACAAAGGGGCGAGGTATGCGCCCCGCGAGCCGCAGGCACTACGACAGTTATGGCACGTGAATGGGCCTGGGGGGAAAGCAATATACAACATGAGAGACACGTGGGCGTTGTACTTCCGGGTGGTCGAGTGACCGGGGACCGGGTGTTCCCGACCTTTCTGCCGACAGCGTCGCGGACCACGTGCACGTCGTCCATCGCGGCATCTCGGCGGCGGCGCTGCCGCGGCCGCTGGCGCCGCTGGCCTCGCTCGTGGTGCCGCGGCGCCGCGTCCACGTCCTGGACCCGCGCACGGCGCTCAACCTGGTGACGGCGCACGAGACGCGGCGGCGGCGCGGCTCCAAGCGGCCGCCGCCCTACCACCGCGGGCGCGGGCCGCCGAGGGGACCGCCGCGGCCGCCGCGCTACAAGGGCAGCCCCAGCAAGCGCAAGGCGGGGCCGCGGGGCAAGCCGTGGACACAGGTAAGCGTCGCGGAGGGTACCCGTCACACGAAGCGGGGTACTTCACTCAAAATAAATTGGTGCACATCATTAATAGTCCAGAAAAAAAAACAGAAAAAATGAAAGAAAAATCAATTTAAACAATCAATTTTTTTAAAAAAACAAGGAAAATTGGTGTACCCTTGGAATTTATAGTGAACTACCCCCTTGGACATGCTCCATAACCTGGTGCTCCTGCCCGCAGGCCACGAGGGGTAGCAGCCCCGCGCCCACCCGGGTGCGCTACAGCAAGGCGCCCAGGAAGAAGGCCAAGAGCAAGAAGCACGCCAAGAAGCGCGAGCCGCAGCTGCCCGCCTACGCGGACGGCTACGCCGACGACGAGGACCTCGTCGAACTGCAGAACGAGGCCGAGGACCCCGACGTGGAGGAGGACCGTCCCAGGAAGCGGCCGGCCAAGAGCAGCGGCTCCGCCAAGCAGCAGCACGGCAGCTCGTACCCGCCCAAGGGCTGGGGGCCGGACGGCGGCTATCGGGTGCCGGCGCCGCAGTACCCACCGTACGGCACCGACGAGGACGAGCCCGGCACCGGCCACCTCGACCTGGAGGAGCGCTTCATCAACCAGCACAACCAGTTCTACCGCCACGGCTACCCGGCCGAGAGCGCCGAGAGCGCGCCCATGGCCACGCAGAGCAAACGCCACCGGCCGGGCCTCGCGCCCGTCGGCCTCTACGAGGATGAGGAGATCGAGGTGGCCGAGGCCACCGACGACTTCGGTGACGGCGGCCTCGCCGCCACCACGTCGCACAACACCCGGCAGCAGTCCTACAGGCGGCCCAGCAAGACCACCAGGTAAAGCAAAATGAAAATAATCATCGATACATTTAAAAAATGTCACACAACGCAAACTGTGTTCCTAAACTGCACGTTCTCGTCTGCCAGGTACCAGCTGCAGCACGACGGAGGTGAAGCTGACGAAGGAAGCCCGGAGGAGGACGAGTACCGCAGGCCGTACGGCGGCGGCAGCAGCAGCAAGGGACGCGGTAAGAAGAAGCAGGACAGCCGGCGCCACCAGAGCATGTACCACGCCAAGTTCCGCGAGCACCAGGACGACCGCACCCTGTCCGCGGCCAACTTCAACTACGAGCTCACGGGGGCCGCGTCCGAGACGGCGCAGTCGGCGGTCGACAACAACAACAACAGCCAGAAGAGCAACTACAAGAACAAAATCAACTACACCGGCAACACCAGCAACTACGGCACCGTTGGCGGCAGCTCCAACAACTACGGCACCGGCACCGGCAGTTCCAACAACTACGGCACCAGCAGCAACGGCAACAGCTACGGCACCAGCAGCACCAGCAACAACCACCGCCCGGCGCACGAGACCGGCGAGGTCGGCATCACCGACGTGCGGACGGTCGACACCAACTTCTTCCGCACCAGGAAGCCGCAGTACTGGGGGTGACGACGCGGCGGGCGCCCCGATGTCGGCCCGACACACGCCGGGGAGCTAGTGGAGCAGATGCGATGAGAAATTTGGCACTACGCTGAATGACAATTTGGTCCTGTCTCATACGTGGCATCGATCATTGAGAAGGCGAAGGAGAGAAGAATAGGAGCCAGTAATTTCTCATGGCATCTCCACTGGCGTAAATGTGCTGGCAGAGCGCCTCAAAGAAAAAACGGACTTGGGTCTTCCTGCTGTCTTACCCCACCCATCAGATTTAAATTAATTATTTCTTAAAACTTCAGACTGTCAGATTTTTTTTATTTGAAAGAATTTCCAAAAATTTAGAAAACTGACGTTGTTGTTAATTTATTTAACGTAAATTATTTATGGCATGTCGCTTTGATCACTTATCAGTGTATCTATGTTATGTACTTTGCATACATCTAACGCACCACTTTTATGCTGGTTTTGTATCAGTTCACGCCTGAAAACTCTTACTGTTTGTAAATATTCTTTGGCTGCATGGCCACACAATTTCACGCGAGTAGCAAGCCTCCGCAAAAGTTCACATTAGACTGCTGCTATTCACGAAATCGCTTTTGCTAAATTCGACATATCTGTACAAAAAGAAGAAAAATATTAATATTGTCCTTTATTTATTTACTTGTTAATTTTGTGTCTAGTCCGAAACTGAGTGCATAACATCAAAAGCCGGTGGACTTGTTGTGTTTGTGCAAATAAACCGTCGTTATGTGTTAAGTTTTTGTTAAGTTTGAACATTTGTTGTGGGTGAGCAGAGTGTAAATAGCTGTTTGAAATGTCTTGGAAAAGAGAAAAAAACATGCAAATAAAACATTCTTATTATAAACAAAATTCCACTCTTCTTTGACTTTTCTTCTCAAACTAAGAACCTGTCCGATGGTACAAAAACAGAAATAGTCTAGATCGGGTAACGGCCGCGCAAGGTCAGTGTCGACTGAAACGACTGTCACTCCGTGACGCGCAACAACAGGGACCCCCCGAGGGGCAAGGGTGGGGCGAGCAGGTACTCTGTTCAACCAACACAAGTGCCCTAAGACATGTTGTTCGCAATCACAAAAATATTTTTTCAAACGATAACATCTTATGTTTTGATTGAAAAACGCTTTATAATGAATAATTATCTAGTGTACATAGTAACAATTGACACTAAGGAATCGACGTGTATAAATAAAGTTTATCGAAAATTAGACACTTTGAAATGACAGGAAGATAGATTAGTTGATTAGTTCGCACACTGCAAGGAGGCAGCTCTGGAGCTCGGCCGGCTCCTGGGGGCGTTGCAGTGCGGCGAATGAATCTCATGGTCCGCCCTGTCGTCGCCTGCAACTGGCGAGACAATCCGAATCAAGGAGCCCTCCGATGCGTTTTTATTCATTTTAAATGTTGAAACTCGTTTCATTTTTCACGGCGTGCCCCGGGCGGGCCGGGCGGGGCGGGACGCGGTGCGTGCCCCGGGGAGTGGGGGAGAGAGGAGTTGACTCGGGCCGGGGGACCTAAAAGCTCGAGGACCTGCCAGGGCTAATCAGTAGCTCCTAGCCATGGAATGCAGAGTAAGTACCGCGGCGGCTCTAGCCTCGGCTCCAGCCGGGCCAAGGAGTGCACGTGACTGGCGCGCCCGAGCAGATAGGCGGCGGACCGCAAGAGTTTGCAGTAGTGATGGGGGCCCCTCATCCCGGTCCTATATTTGACCAGATAGTGTGTGTTTATCGGGGGAATGTCTGCGCGTCGAAAGCCGTAGTGAAAGTATCCCCATATGCAAAGAAGTGTATACCTACCCCACTTGGGTGCACTTTCTGCAGAGGATCCCGAAGAGGGTCCTTAGCTTGATAAACCAAAAGGGGGGAAATACATAGCGAGAGGTCTATGGTGTTTTTTGACCCACCTCAATACACACCTTTGCTGTCCTGCAGGCGGGGTACGTCGTGCTCGCCGTCGCGATGGTGATGCTGGCCTCACCGCCGTCCGTCCGGTAAGTCCAGCAGCAGCAGAAGCAGCAGCAGGTCCTTATCACTCCAGGAGGGGCGTAGGATGGGCGGCCTACCCCCAGGCGCGCTGGGCAGCCGGAGAGGGAAAGAGAGAGAAAGCGAGAGTGAGTTCACTGCTCAGCTGAAGCGGAAAGAGCTAAAAGTGCGTTGTCTGAAAGATTTCGTTAATTATTTACAGGCAAACTGCATTTATTTAAAGCAGCATGTACATATATGACCATTTATTGGAAATGTGTTGTCAATTTTTTGTAGGGAAAATTTTTATGCTTAGTTACAAAAAAACATCAATTAATTTTGGAAACGGCTAAATTTAACATTGATTGATTGCCAGCTGTGAGTTTTAATCTTGTGCCTCGGTTGTCCAGGGCCCAGCGGCGACGGGTGGTGATCGAGGTGCCGGTGCACATCCGCTCGCACCAGCACACCCACACCGTGTACCGGCAGCTGCCCGCGGTGGCGGCCGCCGCGCCCGTGCCGGCCCTGCCCGCCGCGCCGCCGCCGGCCGCCTACGTGTACCCGCAGCTGCAGCAGCTGCACGCCCGGCCCGCCACGCTCGTGAGCGCGCAGCCCGCCGCGCAGAGGGTGGCGCACCACGCCGCGCCCGGCGGCCTCACGTCCATCACGCTCGTCAACCTGGGCCGGGGCGGCGGCGGCGGCGCGCACCACCCGGCCGACGACGGCGGTGAGGGCAACGACGCGGAGGAGCTGCCGCAGCACCGCCAGCTGCACCAGCAGCAGCACCACCTCCACCACCACCAACAGCAGCAGCAACAGCAACACAACCCGCAGCGCCACCACATCACCGGCGTCAACTACCACCGCACCGAGCACACCGCGCAGGTGTACCGATAGACGGCTCCCTCTGACCTTTTGAAATTGTCAATTCCGTTGATTGATAGGAAGTGTGGCGGAGTGGCAAGCGGTTTTTAGACAGTCCCTTATTTTCCCAGACAAGTGTATTGTAAGACATTTCGTTTCCTTCACTTCTTTTAGACAATCTTATTCGTTGCTGGGCCGATAAAGTCGACTGAAAATTGTTTTTAGTTTAAATACTGTATGGGGTCGAAATGCGTCAGATGTGTGTGGGAAGCAATGGAGAGGGGGTGGGGGAAGATGGACATCTTGATGTCCTCGACAAGGGTCAGATCAGTAACAAACGAGTAACGAGCTGGCGCGGGTTGACTAGTAGTGGTAGGGGGAGGAGGAGGAAGGAGGAGAGGTCTAGTCCGATCAGAGATCAGAAGGGGTCAACTACACGGTGTTCGGGCGGGCTGCCAAAGGAGAGTCCCTCTGGTCCTCTCGGGGCAGCAGGAAGTACTCGGGGACATTCCATACGGGCGGCTGGTCCTCCTACTGCTGGGTCCTCCCCCCCGGACCAAAGGGCCAGCCCGGCGATGGGATGGGCCGAGATAGCCACGGTATAAAGCACGCCCAGTATGGCTCTCTGGCGTTTCTCTCGTTACAACAGGCTGGCGACCAGGCGGACCGCCCCATCTGCCACACACGGGAAGGGTGGACGTGAACGGGTGGGAGGAAGGGGCGAGAGGGACGGGAATTTTCCCTACCCTTTCCCTTCCGCTGGTCTAACCAGCGGGAAACTTCTTAGCATCAATTTTGTACGGTACGGCGGGGCCAACGGCGCCGGCTCCGTGGTCATTCTAGTCAAACAGTGTAAAATCTGTTCATTAGTCATGTAAGAATATAGTGTATACTCTTCGCTCGTGAATCTTCGGGCATCGCTCGGGCGGCTTTCTGAAGCCACTTACTACTTTCCGCCGATGTCTTCATTGCCACTGGATTTCATTGCGACATTGCAATAAAAAAAAATCAAAAAAAATCGCAGACCGCTCTGGGTCATGCCCGACGATTCACTAACCGAGTTAGTTCGACGCTGTCGTTTGCTAATGATGCTAAATAAATTGCCTTAGCGACTCGAGCTGTTGCCAAACTGTTGATTCCCCTCACTCCCCTCCTCCTCCTGCTCGGCCCCTTTGGCCGGAGCGAGCTTTCCACGCCAAACTCGAGCACTACTTCCGAGTCCGCCGGGCCGGCCCTACCCGTCCCGCGCCGTCCCGCCGCACCAATCGACTGTGAGGCAAGACGGTTCCGCTGCGGATCTGCGGATTGGTGTCGCGTGTCGGCTGCATCCTTATTCCCGGCGGAAAGATAACCGAGATAACGCGGGACAATCGCGGTCGCTGTTGTTGTTTCTTCTCACGGCAAATTATTTGCTCAGTGCGCAGTGCGCAGTGGCCGGCGGTGCGGCGGGGTTGTAACCGCTATGTATGAGCGCATGTGCGTCTGGGTGGCGCGATTATCGCGACCGGTCCCCGCGCCGCCCCGCCCGGCCTGGCGGCCCCGGCCGGGACAGGACAGGGCACTACACCACTTGCACCAGGTGTAGCAGGCAGTGTGGTCTCATCGCGAGAAACAATCTGCAGTAAACTACTACGGCGTCGCAGTAACTCGCCGGCGGGGTGGCGCCGAGCCGAGCTGCTGCAGCAGCGTCTGCCACGCCTGGCCAGCGACAACCGGCCGGAAACAAAGCTGTGCGGTAAGACGCCGCCACCGGCTACAGTCTTCCTCCTCCTCCTCTTCCTCCCCGAAGCTGTCGCCGCCACGCCCCTCCGCCCCCGCGTGACAGGCGATCAGCCGTTGTCGCAATCATTATGATCCGGTCCACGGCGGTCCAGTCCCGCGAAGCATCCCACTGTGGCAGGATGTCGCCGCCGGCCACGACGGCCTGCTCCCGCTGCTGCCCGCCGCCGTCGCCGACCTGGACGCACGCCGCCGCGGCCACCGCCGCCGCCCCGCGGACATGAGCCTCCCGGGGCGGCGCGTCCCCGCGTCCGCGAGCGCGGCGGCGACGACGGCGAGGTCGCGCGAGCCGAGAGGTCAAGTGGTTCCCACCTGCCGGCCGCGAGGAGCCGCCGTCGGCGAGCATCGCCATTCTGGGAAAACGAGTGAATGGGCAGCGCGACGCGCGGACACGGGCGACAAAGTGGGAATTAGCGGCGCTACACGGCGGCGAGCCTCGACATGGGACCTGCTGTCGCTCGCGGCGGTGCTCGTCGGCACCGTCCTGGCCGCGAGGGACGCGGCCGCCGCGCCGGCCACATCGGCGACCTCGTCCGGCGGCGGCGGTCCTCTGCAAGAGCAAGAGTAGGTGTGCCGTGGACGCGTTGCGCGTGTGCGCGGGCCGGCGACGAGGCCGCGGCGGAGAACGAATCGATAACGAGTGATTTACTGCGACAGGATCAACCTGAAGCTGCGCATCCTGGTGCCCCGCGACCAGCGCGCCCCCGTGGTGAGCGCCGCGGCCCTGGCCCCGGCCCTGGCGCAGCACCTGGCCGCGCCCCTGACCTCCATCACGGCGTCGCGGCCGGCCTTCACGTCCCAGGTTTGGCAAACACACGCGTAAACTGGACTTGAGCGTGTCTCGAGGCGACTAGATCGAGTTCCTCCGATAAATTACGACTTTGATGGTCCGCCAGGTGTCCGTCCCCGCCGCGCCCTCCATGCTGGAGTCCGTGGCCGCGCTGCCCCCGCTCTCCATGCAGCCCGTGTCCGTCGTGTCATCCATGTCCGCCGTGGCGTCGGGGTCCTCGGTGACGGTGCCGCGCGGCAACGGGCAGCAGTCCTACCGCAAGCTGGTGCCCGTGCGCGGGTACGGGTACGGTGCGTACGGTACGTCGTACCAGGCGCTGCCCGCCGCCATGCAGACCCTCCAGTTCCAGTACCCGCCCGCGCCGCGCTACCCGACGGCCTGGACGCGGCCGCGGCCGGGGGCGGCGCTCATCGTCGGGGCGGCAGCACCCCTGGCCGCCCCCGCGCCGCCTCCGGCCGCCGCCGCAGTGCCGCAGCAGACGTCGCCCGCGGCGCCGCGCCCCGAGCTCATCAACATCACGCTGATCCGCGGGGGCAGCAAGTCCGCCAACAAGGCGTGCAACTGCAGCGGCAGCGCCGTCAGCACCACCACGACGGCCGCGCCGCCCCCGCCGCCCTCGGAGGAGCCCGCCCCCGTGGAGGAGGACGCCGACGACGAGGCGCCACCTCCACCGCCACTATATCACGGGCCGCCCTCTTCGACGCCCGTGCCTAACCCCTGGCAGGGCTACATACCGCAGGACGTCCTGGAGCACGCCAAGAAGGTCCTCACCAACAATGCCAACGGCCGCGTCAAGCTGCAGAAGGAGGTGGACAAGTTGCACTTCCGCCAGAACTGGAAGCACAGCAACTACCCCAAGAAGCCGGTGCCGGGCGTGGGCGAGGATCTGTGGGGTGCGCTCAAGGACGACCTCGCCGACCTGGTCAAGAACACGGACGCCGACATGAAGGACGTCGACGAGGACAGCGACGCGCTGCACCACAACCACCGCGACCCGGACTGGGAGGACGAGCCGCTGGACCCCATCGACGACGTGCACGCCGGCCAGCAGCGCGACGAGTTCGACGCGCCCCACGACGGCGAGGAGGACGACACGTCCGGACAGCCGTACTTCGTCGACTTCTGGGGGAACCGCGTGCCGCAGTACGAGAACGGCTTCAGCGACGCGTCGGACACGGTGGAGGACTCGAGGAAGGAGTACAACAACCACCCCCAGGGCTGGAACCCCGACTACCCCAAGGGGCTGTGGAGCCAGAGCGACGAGCACCTGCAGGTGAGGAGGGTAGGAGGGTGGACCAGGGCGGGCGGCAGCCTCCGCGGCGCAGGTTCAAATAATTCAAATTCACTGGTGAAAAGTGAAAAGGGCGTAAGTCCACGGACCTTCTTTTATTGGACTTACACCCTTTCCACTTTTCACCATTGAATTGACGTCGTTTGCAACTCAGGTGTTCTCGGGGGCCGCGGGCCAGCAGGGGCCACAGGCGCAGCAGGCGCAGTCGGCACCCAACCAGGTGCGCCCCGTGTACGACAACGGCCTCGGCGAGGGCATTGAGGCCAACTACAACAAGTACGTCCTGGACAACGGCACGTGGGTGGGCCCCGACCCGGACCCCGTCCCGGACGACGACCTGCGCAACCTCATGCAGGACGCCGTCTCGCACGAGGCCGCGCTGCAGAACCCCAGCGAGGTGTACCCGAGCTACGAGGAGGTCGTGCGGTACCTCAACAGCAGGTACAGGTGCGTTCGCGGCATGCTGCCCACAAACAAAAACTGCTATCGTTTATGGTTCGTCTGAAATTGGTATTTTTCTATTCAGATATCCTGTTCAGTACCCGCGGCCACCTCCGCGACCGCGCCCCCGCCCCCGACCTCGGCCCCGACCAAGACCTCCACCGCCGCCACCGCCACCCCCACCTCGCTCCCCGCGACCATACCCCTCCCACATGTACCCGTACCACATGCCCCACTACCCCTACCCCCTGCCGCTGCCGCTACCGCCGCCGCCACAGCCGCTGCCACGGCGACCTCGCCCGCAGCCGCCACCTCCGCCCAACCCCAACCTCGTGGACGTGAACCAGCTCGTCGAGGCCCTCATCCTGCACAAGGAGAAGGAGCGCGCGCGCAAGCAGGAGGCCGAGAGCAAGGAGGCCGTCGAGGAGTACGAGGACGCCGGCGGCGACGACGAGGCCCGCGACGTGGAGCGGCCGGTGCGCACGTCCAACGCGCACGCCTCCCCGCCGAGCAGCACCACGCCGAGGAGCGTGTGCAAGGGCCTCAAGGACGTGGGCCTGGACCCCGACGGCCAGGGCATGTCCCACGTCCAGGGCGTGGTCTGCTCCAGCAGCTTCGACAACTCGGAGGAGGAGGGCCTAGCGGAGGCTGTCCAAGAGGGCGACCGCGAGTAGTATTTCACAGAGACAGACTATTGTAAATATGTACAAAAATAAAACTTAAAAGAAAACAACAGAAAAATGCCTATAACATTTTTAGACAGGCTCCACGACTGCCTCTGCCAGAGAGTAAAGTGACCCCCTCCTCCCTCCCGCTCCATCCTTACCGTATCCCATAGCGCCGTTGAATATGAGGAAGTTGCCCGATAAGAGGAACAAAAAGAAGGTAGCGCTGAGGGGGTGGCGTGGCGTAGCGCCGTCCCGAAACAAAGCAGAACGCGGGCGACCATACTGTGTTTTGTCGCAAGTGGATGTGTGATCATAAATCAAGTTTTGTTGAATTTCTAAAGAAAAATTGGGTCCATAATAGACCGGCGTCACAATCTTGTGTCAAAAAGTGCTTCTGTAAAGTTTGGCTTCGGAAAAGTAAGTTTATACAATCTTCTAAACCGTCCCGGTGTCGTTGTTTAGGTTAGTGTACGGACATATTGCATTGGTACAATTTTAACTCAATGATAATGACTCAACTGTCGTAAAAAGCTTTGGTATAGGTGGTACCAAAGTGCTGGATGCATAGGCCCCTTCTAAACTGTTTGAAATCTAACGACACGCATCCTAACCTCTTCTAGACTGGCGCTCATCTTCTGCTTTGTTTAGGGACGGCGCTACGCCACGCCACCTCCCCAGTGCTACCTTCTTCTTGTTCCTCTTATCGGGCAACTTCCTCATAAAAGTCCATTCGTGTGTACCAAAATCATCGGGTGCGCGCTGGTATGGTCGCGCCTGCTGATTCTTCTTGTAGATCGTTAACTTCGCTCGTCGGGTTTACTTATTTTGACTTTCCATCCCGGGGTTTTCCGAACGGCGCACTTCCAAGCGGTTGCGGGGAGGGGGCACTAGGATGGGGCGGCCCCGGCTGGGGCGGGGGGACGACCCCGGATGACCCTATCGGACGACGGTCTGCTGTCTGCTCCTGCTCTAAAACCGCATCAGTCCAAGTGTGCGTGTCGCCCAGGTGTGTCCGAGCCCGAGCGTGAGTGCCGTAGGAGCGGTGATCGCCAACCTGAAGCTCGTCGGAGCCCCTGGGCAGTGTGTTCGCAAGAGCGACTGCAGCGCCTTCGCCTTCTGAAGTGTTCCACGCCGAGCTGCTGCACCCGGGAGCACCGGGTACTCGGACCATCAGTAGCCCTTTGACGACCTAAAAGGTGAACAGGTGCGCTTGGTACTTCAGATTCACAAACCCCTTTTCAGGTTAAAGTTGAAGAGGAGCATAGGTCCAAGAACTCATACTGAAAGTTTCTTTTGTTTTTCTCCAGTCACCAAATTCTTTATACCACTATGGCATACCGATGTGACCTGTGCAACAAGGAGTTTCACTCTACGTCCAGTCATAAGAGGCACATGAAAACCCACACAGGAGAGAAACCCTTCGACTGTACAATCTGCAACAAGCAATTTAGGATGTCTGCGCATTTGCGCAAACACCTCCGAACACACACAGGCGAGAAACCCTTTGAGTGTACAATCTGCAACAAGCAATTTAAACAGCCTTCGACTTTGCGCACACATCTCCGAATAACCCACACTGGAGAGAAGCCTTATGAGTGTGCAGTCTGCAGCAAGAACTTTTCGATTTTACAACATTTGCGCATTCACCTCCGGGCACACACAGGAGAGAAGCCATACGAGTGTACAATCTGCAATCAAAAATTTGCACAACAGTCCCTGGTGAACCGGCATCTGCGGACCCACACAGGAGAGAAACCCTTTGAGTGTACAATCTGCGAAAAGAAATTTGCTCGAGCGGACCACTTGGGCTTACATCTCCTCACCCACACAGGAGAGACGCCTTTTGAGTGTTCAATCTGCAACAAGAAATTTACGCAGTCTTCGAATTTGCGCACACACCTCCGAACACACACAGGAGAGAAGCCCCTCGAATGTACACTCTGCAACAAGAAATTTACGCAGTCTTCGGGTTTGCGTGACCACCTCCGAACCCACACGGGGGAGAAGTCCTTCGAGTGTACACTCTGCAACAAAAAATTTGCACGTGAGAAGACCATGAACCTGCATCTCTGGACCCACACGGGAGAGACGCCGTTTGAGTGTACAATCTGTAACAAGAAATTTGCACATGCTGACAATCTGCGCAAACACCTCCGGACCCACACAGAAGAGAAACCATTTGAGTGTACAATATGCAACAAGAAATTTGCGCAAGCTAAGAATCTGCGCAGACACCTCCGTATCCACACAGGAGAGAAACCCTTCGAGTGTACAATATGCAACAAGAAATTTACCCAACAGAGCAACTTGGGCGCACATCACCCGACGCACACGGGAGAGGTGCCCTTCAAGTGTACGGTCTGCAACAAGGAATTTGCACGTGCGGGCAATATCCTCGAACACCTCCGGAAACACGTATGAGAGAGG